TCTCTCTCTCTCTCTCTCTCTGTCTCTCTCTCTCTCTCTTTTCTTTCTTTCTTTTCTGCAAATGGGTATTTTGTTTGCATGAGTGTCTGTATACCACATATGTGAATGGTGCCCACAGAAGCCAGAAGAGGGCATCAAATCCCCTGGAACTGGAGTTGTAGCTGTTGTGAGCTACCATGTGGGTGTTGGGAACAAAACTCAGGTCCTCTAGAAGAGCAACAAATGCTCTTAACCACTGAGTCATCTCTTCAACTGCAGCCTTGCCTTTTAACTTACTCTTGTGTTTAGTTTTAGAATGTTGAAATTAGAAAACGTAATGTTTGAAATAACTGCAGAAAAGGAAAAACCCAGTACCATTCAAAACTATAACTGGAAAATAACCATGTCTTTTTCTCTAAAAATAATTGTATTTCTATGCAAGATTTAAAGACCTCACATTTTACTGACATGTGTTAACTGTACAGAGTTTTACTATGTATTTTTACTATGGTATTTTCCTCTTTTGTGGGGAGAGCCCCAGGGTTTGAGACTCAAATTCAGACTAGTCTGGAAGTCATGATACAATCCAGATTGTCCACAAATTGGTGGCCATTCTCCTGCCAATCAAGTGCTGGAATTAGGCATGAGCCATCATACCTGACAGTTATGACATTTTCATACAGATGTTTAATATACTTTGATAACATGTTACCTTGTACCTTGTCACACACTTTCTTTCCTTCCATATCCCCAATATCCCCATATCCCCGATAGCTCCCAAAGGCTCTTAAAAGACCTCATTCTTAATTTATATGTACATCTAATGCTATCTTTAATTTCTACATCTAATGACATTTGATTAAGTTTTTGATATGAGACCTGAGAAAGCTGTAATAGAAGCAACTGAAGGGGCAACGATATTACTTATATATTATACAAGTCAAAATTTATACCAGTAAGTCCTGTCAGCTGTATACACGCATGTGATCACACATACGTTGTCTAATCAACACAGCAGTAGAATGAATGGATCAAAGATGAGCTAGCTATACAGCATTTTAAGAGCATTTGCTCCACTTGCTGTTTTTTCATTTGTTCTTTGTGGACTTTTTGTTTACTTTTTCCAAGATGCATGTTAGTCTTTGTGTTTGCTCAACTACAAGATGGAGGGGGCTAGGGAGATGGCTCAGTGGCTGCTCTTGCAGATCTGGGTTCAATTCCCAGTACCTAGATTGTAGCTCATAGCCTCCTCTAACTCCAGTTCCGGGAGGTCCGATGCCCTCATTTAACCTCCATGAGGACAAGGCACACAAGTAGGAGACATGCAAGCAAAGCATTCCTACAATAAAAGTAAATAAAAATGTTTTTTAAAAAGGAAACGCTATGAGGTTTACCTCCTCCCAAAGTCATGTTTCCTGTCAACAGTTAACGCTTACTGTCTTGTGTTGCGTGAAGGACTCATGCACCAAACTCCATGTATAGTGTACTAAAAAAAGAAAAAATAGAAATGTTTTATGTATGGTTTTAGGACTGACCTAGATAATACAGGAATAACTGGGCACAGCACTGGAGAGGTGCATCAAGAGTTCAAGACCAGTGTCAGCTACATAGCAGGTTTGAGGACAGCCTGGGCTGAGACCCTGTCTCTCACACAAAAGAATGTGGGTTACTTAAATAATGAAGGTACTAAATCGATTTAATTAAATAACATCAATCACTTTTACAATATTTCAACTGGGGCTAGGAGTACAGCTCAGTGCTAGAGCACTTACCTAGCATGTGCAAGGCTGTGGGTTCCATCCACAGGGATGCATATGAAAGAAATAAATAGATGGAAAACTTAAAGATGTACTGCCATCGGCTCTTAATAGTCTTTCCGGAAAACTGGAGCTGTGCAGTCCAAAGATTCTAAGAATTGAGAATCAATTCAGAACAAATACATGCAGAAATAATTGCTCATGAAGCATGATTTGTTGGCCATTTGTGATTTAATATCTATTTCCAACTGATCATAGAAAACAGGAGACTAAACACAAACACTTTATGAAATCCCCTGTCTGCTTGAATTTGTGGTACTGGTGACCTCTGCACTTTTTATCCATGACTATAAAACCACAGAAATTTAGAAGAAACATTAAAAATATAACATATTCTAGGACTAGGATTAAATGGCATTGCCTTTAATCCCAGCACTCAGGAGTCATGGGCAGGTGGGTAGATCTCTTTGAGTTCAAGGTCAGTCTGGGGTACAACGAGAGACTCAAGGAAAAAAAGTACATAGCAGTAGAAGAGTAACTACAAAGAGTAGTAAGCATGATTGTAAGACTTCAAATTGTAATAAGCTGGAATCAGTGGTGGGGAAACCTGGAACACTTCAGGTACAAAGTAACCAGGGTTTTAGGTTGTGAGAGAGAGAGAGAGAGAGAGAGAGAGAGAGAGAGAGAGAGAGAGAGACAGACAGAGAGAGACAGAGAGAGAGAGATTGGATTTTCTTAGTTTTTTTACTCTTTGAAGGGCCCACCACCCAGCTCCCAAATAAATACATGGAGTCTTATTCTAACTTATGAATACCAGGCCTTAATTTGGCTTATTTCTAGCCAGCTCTTCTTTACTTAAATTATCCCGCCTCCCTTGTGCCTCCGGTCCCTTATCTTTCTCTATTTCTGTCTATCTTTTCTTCCCTTCTTACTTGGTTGCTGGTTGTGTAGCTGGGTGGCTGGCCCCTGATGTCTTCTCCTTTTTTCACTCCTCCCTCTTCTCTTTTTCTCCTTCCATTTATTCTCTCTGCCTTCCAGCCCTGCCTATCCCTCTCCTGCCTTGCTATTGGCCGTGCAGCTATTTATTAGACCATCAGGTGTTTTAGACAGGCACAGTAACACAGCTTCACAGAGTTAAACAAATGCAACATAAAAGAATGCAACACATCTTTGCATAATTAAATGTTCCACAGCATAAACAAATGTAACACATTTTAAACTAATATTCCATAACATGTATGTGCATATGCTATGTGTGATATGTAGATAGGGGAAATATGAGAATATATAAAGAAGTTGTTCTAATTTTGATTAAGATTTTTACCAAATTGTTTTGGTTTTATAATTCTCAAAATGAGAAGACATTGCCAGCAATGGTGCTATTTTTGTAATTTGGAAGAGGATCTACTTCCAAGAATAATTATAAAAAGATTTCCATCTAGGGAAAATATATTAATATGGAAGCATGCAGAATATATAGTTGATACAGAAGACTAGAGAAAATCCTACTCAATATGAGTCAAATTGTCATTAAGGTTTCCACCTTAATGTGCATTTATATAATACATACATAATATGTAGCACATATGGGTAAATATATTAAATGAATGTCAATAACTTTATAAGTTATTAAGTGAATGAAATTTATTCACTAAAAATGAGAACTTGAGAATTATATATCTGATTTTGGCAGATGGCTTAGGAGTCAGGAATGAAATCTTTTTGTTATTTGGTTTCTTGGCCTTTTCCTTTTTTTCTTTATTTTCTAGACAAGGTCACACTTGTAGCCTAGGCTAGCCTCAAACTTGTCCTACTTCTCTTGCCTCAGCCTCTAGAGCATTAGGATTACTGGGCTGAATTACCACACTTTGCTCAAGAAGTAGAAATTTCTTTGCACACCATAATGTACAAACATCTAATTTTAATACAAATGTATTGTTGTATGTGAAAGTAAATTTTGGATTCTCTATTGAAAGAGCCTAAAGGAAATAATTAAGAAAGGGTATCAGTGGTCTCAACAGGCTTCGTGGGAGTATTTTATTTAATACATGGTTTTCTGAATCTTTGACTTGGGCTATATGGTAGATCCTAATGAGAACATAGTTTTAATACTTTTCTCTAGAAGGGAAGTGATAGCGCATAAACACCAAAGGAGACATAGAAAGCAGTTGAAGTCTGTTTAATGACATGGCAAAGTGCTGTGTTCAAATGGCAAATGAAAGTATCCATGCAAAAGCACAGATCTCACTTCAAGGGGAATAAGAGATGATAGTTTATTCTGGAGTCAACATGACCATGACCCAGGAACACAAATACTATGTTCCACAGTCAAAGTAGTTACATGATACTTTATTGGTTATAAAGCAAAGTCATAAATCAAAGTATTTACCAAGTGTATTGGTAGGGGTCACAGACATGTGGGTTATTAGTCAAGGGAAGAACAGATACCTTTTGGATTAATGAGAGCTATTGGTCTGCTAAGAATACTTTTCAAGGTTTTGATAGGCATAAGGATGTTAGGTCAGACACCAGCAGGCAGTGGATGGCTTTCAGAGGGATTGAAAATAGCCCAAATAATTTGGCTCTGTTTTGCAATACCTATTAACTAGGTATTACCTAATTTAATTAACATTAAAGTTCAGTCTATCGGCCTTGTAAACTCTTTAACACAGGGACAGCTCTCTTCTTCCTTCTAGGAGCTTTAGTTAATAAATACCCAAGAAAACACTCGAGTAATTTCTGGCATATAATAACACACATACACATGGATCCTGCCATGGATTGCTTATAGTGATGAGAACTCCCGGGAATTCCTCTTAAGGTTTTGGCCACAAGGCTGCCAACAATTCAACACACAAAGTCTGTGGTCTAGGTCTTTTTTCAGAAAATTCTTGGCATCTCAGGGAATTACTTTGGAGATGCCAAGACAAACCAAAAATAGGACACAGTTTGTTACCTAGAGAGGTACTCCTGGACTTGAGTTACCATATGTCTCTTTTAATGTAAATTTTTTTTATATTTGGCTCTTTCTTGATAACTTGGAAAAATACTAGAGATGTGATGCTCAGTGAACAAGAGATTTTTGTTTTATTGTGTTGTTTTGTTTCTTACATAGACTGGCCAGGAACTCATAGGTTCAGGGTATTCTCCTCCATCAGCTGAGACTACAGACTGCAGCACATGGAGGAAACAAAATTATAAGTTAATTAATAAATTTTCAAGACAGGGTCTCAATATAGGCCTGCCTGTACTAATTTTGTAGACCAAGTTGGCCTGGAATTCACAGAGTTTTGCCTGCCTCTGCCTCCCAGATGCTGGGATTAAAGGCTTGTGCCATGATGCCAGACCTAAAATTACTACTTTTTAAAATACTTGATAAGCATAAAGATTTTCAGCCTCTGTTTGGTTTTAGGTGAAAAACAGACCCCCCCAAAAAAGATTTTTTTTCTTTCCTTTTCTAACAATCCTATCACCTGTGCTTCCAGGAACTTGCATTGCTGATGACTTTTTTTTTTTTTTTGCGAAAGGCGGGAGGAGGACAGCTTGCTGTAGTTACTGGAACAGTGTATGGAGCACTACTGCCATCCTGAGGATGTAGTTTCAAATCAAATAGTGCAGTTACTGTATTATCGCGATGACTTCCGCTTTGTACAAGTCCATTCAGTAAAGAAGCCCAGCTGGCCCTAACTTTAAACTGGTCCACTCATTTTCTTCTGAGTTAGTTCAGGAGTTCCGGGTAAAGGCTTGATGTGGACCCGAAAACATTTTTATTCCTGGTGAAGAAGGTCGGAGCAGCCCGCAACTTTCCGGAAGTTTGCTCGTCCGGAAGTTATGGGGCGGGACTTCAGTTGCGGAAGCCTCAGGCCCAGCGCTTCCTAGTACCCTTTTTATGCCTCTGACCATTTTACATTTTCCTGAAGCATAAGAAACTGACTAGTTGAAAGTGTTACTCCCGCCCCCCAGCTCCCTGGATTTGGTTTTTGTTTGTTTTGACAGCTTTCACCGAGTCCAGGCTGTCCAGGAGCTTAATGTAGCCAAGCTCTTTAATCCTGGTTTCTGTTTCCACCTCCCAGCTTCCAGGAACTTAACACGGTGCCTGTTTGAAGGTGCTGTTTTAAAGCAGCGTAAGTGCTTGCTTAGGCATATGGACACAGCAAACGTGTCTGTCTCATTGCCTTGAGCAAGGAGAGCAAATGGAGAAGTGCTAGAGGCCGTGTTGGCTAACAAGAAAGCTGCCATCCTAACTACCTGAGAAGTGCATACATCATCCCCAGTACAAACAAAAAACAACAACAACCAAAAAACCTTTTAAGACTAGCCTGTATCCTTTTCCTGTTCTCTAGTAAACTTTTGTGGCCCTTCTCCCCCTAGATTCTACATGATAGAAAATGAGTGATACTTTTCTTTCTAAATATTATATCTTGTTTATAGTAGATGGGAGACTAAATGATCCAGTGTTCTAGCTAACCCTAATCAACAATAAAAAAATGTATTAGATCTCAGTCTGCTTTACTGATGTTAATAGGACTAATCAGTTAAGGACCGTTACTCATTTCTGTGTATATGAGGAAATACTTGTGTTAAGAGATGCATCATGATCCACAAAAGGCGCAAAGATACACAGTGAAATCCTGTCTCGGAAAAAAAAACAAAAGAAAAAAGAGAGAGATACGGAGACAGTGTGAGCAACTTCTGGTTGTGATTTATATATATTTGAGAAATTTTGAGTTGGGGATTTAGCTCAGTGGTAGAGCACTTGCCTAGCAAGTACAAGGCCCTGGGTTCGATCCTCAGCTCCAAAAAAAAAAAAAAAGAAAAAAAGAAAAAAAGAAATTTACTGCTCAAAGTGAGATATTGACATGGCATCCAAGAAAGATGTGTGACATACCTTCTAGGAATGCAAAGCAAATAGAGACTTCCCATTTCATTTACTCTGTCTAGTCCAGTAAATGGATAAGGACTAATTTACAGCCTCCATTGGTAACAACCTCCTTGACCAAACCTTTTCTACTTTTCTGAGTCTCCTATTTAAAAACAACAAAAACTCTCTTTGGAATTTTTTATTGATTGACTGACCGATTGATTTTCAGACAGGATCTTCTCATCTGTCTCTACCATGTGCTGGAGTTACAGTCATATACCACCATGCTTGGTTTACTGTGCTGGTGATGGCATCCAGGGCCTCCCTGATTATTGAACAACATATTCCCCCAGCTGGACCCCAGTGCATCTGAACCCTTATTTATTTATTTCTTTGTTTGTTTGTAGTTGAGACACGCCTTTAGTCAGTTTGGTTATAAGAAGAACCTTGTTATTGTCCCATCAGCAAGACCCCCTCCCATGCATCATGACCAGACATTTTCCATGTGCTTATTCTCCCCCCACCCCCCTATTAGTGCCTTGGCTGTGAATCTCCAGCTGCCTTTGCTATATTCAGGATTAAGCCTGGTTTATTTCTCCCCTGTTGAAAAATTCCTATTGCAGTAGTCTTTGTTGTTTTAACAATAATCAAAGTAATTTCGTCATTAATATTAGTAAAGTCAACTCAGAATGCTTACAGATGGCCTATTTCTGCCATTGATTTTTCTGAATTTCTTTTAGGCCAGGCTTATGAAGATTTCCTCATAAAGGAAC